TTTGCCATGTGTCTATGGAAACTTAGACTCAAGTCTTCCTTTGTTGTTTCTTATGCATGGCAATTTGTCCATTATGCATGGCCTATGATAAGTGTACATAGGCTCCACTATTGTTATTATTATTCCAATATAAAACCTCCTTTTTATAAAAAAAATGTTGACTCTTCTAAATTAATTTGCAAATTTAATATTAATTGACTTCATAATTATTTTCTTTAATTCGTGTTGTCTATTTATCAAAATCTTTAGACATAATTTTCATTTTATAATTTTCATTTATTTACTTCATATTATAATTTTAAAGTGTATAGAATTGAGGGTGTTACAATTCTTCTCCTCTAAAAAGAAATTTCGTCCTCGAAATTTACACGAAATTTACCTGTTCTTTTTGTAGAATAAATGGTGTAGTATTTGTGTAGTATTTTGATCTATTTGTTTTCTCAAGTGGGCCTGTTAGTGGTGTGGTTTCACAAACACTTTGATCAATGTGATCTTTTTAATTCTTGGTTGTTTTTACTACTTTTTACTTATAATATTTGACCAGTCGTCCTTAGCTTCCTTATATATCTCAAAAATGGTTCATTCGAAGAAAAAGTGTTTTTTTTTTTGGGCACAATATTAACATGTAACGGAGTATCACATACAATCCATTCAGATTGATTTATCTTTAATCTAATTGTGAGATATTTATTTTTAATAACTAAATAATGACATTTTACATAGACAATACCATATTGTACTTTGTACATCTTATATTTGATTAAATCTTAAACACAGTGTCACACATTGAATTCTGAAAAGTCAAACAAATCATGGTCAACCTATTTTTATCATTATTGATTTTTTTTCCTTTTCACTATTACATCATTTTTTTATTAATTACTGCAACTACAAGCAGGTTTCATTATTTTCTTAATAACTAAAAGTGCCCTTTTTTTGTATTAGGAATATATAACGTAATTTTGATTTCTAGGGCTGACTTTTAGTAGACAAAGTAATTCTTGTATTCACTTTAAAGTTAGGTTTGGTTTCAATGAATCCAGTTTAATTAATTACTTATTGGAATCCTCACAAATTGTCACATACTTGATACTTCCATGGTTACCTCATTTAAAATCAGGTTTAATTCAAATGAACTAAACACAACTTCAACCATTTATGTAATTTATCTTTTTGGAAAACAATATTATTGGGGTAATATTAAAATTACTGGAAAATTTACACACTATCTCAAGGAAACGCAGACCTAACTCCGGTAAGCTAAAAAGGCATGAATGCAAACTTAAAAAGATAAAGAATAAAATGAAACTTATCTTCTGCAACTTAAACCGAATTAAAGATGCAAACCAAAGTATAAAGTTATAGCAACCCTACTGTTTAGGTTTGGAGGCAATACTACAAAGCACTTCCAATCTAAACTGGAAGACTCTAAGAAAAAATGGTGGACCCTTAGCAAAATATTACCAAAAAACATGGGTTCCAATTAACTGTATAAGCAAAATAATACGCTTTCAAACTGAACTGATACAACTATTCTAGCCAATAACATTATTCTTCATTTTAGCAGTCCTTTTGTCTCTCTGTTGTTGTAAGTCTTTAGCAAGAATCGATGCCTTGTGACCACATTAGGATCATCGCTGGGAGCATCCTGGTATCACAATTTCACTCTGCATACCAGGTTACAGAAATGAAGATAAACTAATTTCAATATGCAGAATCTGCACTAATTTCATAAACATGCATTAGTAGACAATTTCAATTGTCCTTACATTAAGAGTTTGTCTCCCTGAAATAATATCCACAATTACATCAAATCCAGTCATTTGACTTGCAGGAGTACCAGATTTCTGGGACGCAGATCCTGTAGCTTTGAGGTCTTGAAGCACCAAATTACCCCTTTCCTACAAATGTAGTAGCAATTAATAGATAAGTATCTCAATGAAGGAATTACATATAAAAGGAGAAAATGGAAGTTCATTTAAAATGCATACCTGATTTAATTTTTTAATGGGCATGTTCTAGTGTTATGTCCATAAGTTGTACATGAAGTACATCTTAACACTCTGCCTTTCTTTGTTATCTTTGTTGAAGCAGTTGCATTTGGCTCATTTCTTGCCCTAATCCTTTTTTGTCTTGGTCGTCCAGGCATCTTAATAAGTGGTGGAGGATCTATGGGAGGGTATTTGACGGGCACTTTGTCGTAGTGCGTCAAAATAAATTCGATACTAAAACTTATACGTAGTATAGCGTAGTAGAGTTCGTATCCACAAGGAAAGGAATAATTCTATTTTTATGAATGAGTAAACAAAAGGGGGGTTTTGGAATTGAGTGATTTAATTTAATTAAACACTAAGATGAATGAATTATATGAGTTTTAATGTAAAGATAAAAGGGACTTGGCTTTGCTACTTTCCACTTGTTGATATATTTAGTTGATCGTTGTTATATCTATAACTTATCCCCTCTCAAATACTCAATCGAGGAGTATCTCGAATTCATCGAGGGTAGCTATTAACAATGATCGTTCATTAATAACCCTTACTATTAATCAAATATAGAACAACGCCTTATATCGATTTAATAGTAGATTTAATCTTTCTAACTCCTTGATGAAATCAATTGAAATTGATAACCTCAACACAACGGTTTCAGTTTAACCAACAAAATTAAACCCTCTTAAGTTTATCAACCACGACCGTGCATTAATAAACTGAAGTTACTTACTTGTGAAACCATCAACGATTAATCATCGATTCGTTGATCGTTTCTAGTAACATTGTTGTGTTTTAGTCCAACATAAACTAATAGAATATAGATATAATCTGGTATACCACTCGATATTTACGTGGAAACCCGGAAAGGGAGAAAACCACGAGACTTTGTAGACTAACGTCCAAGCACGCTCTTTCTCATTAACTCTCCTCACCAAAATACATGTACAAATGTTGAAGCTCCGTTAATGGAGGTTGAATAACTAAGCTAAAACAAGAAGCAGCTAGGGAGGAGAGCCAGTTAAAATCGGATCCCTTTACATGGAAGCAAGACTTCCTATTTATAGAAAAAGGGGGTGGGGGCTTTCTAGCCTAATGGGTCGGACGGGCCGAAATGGGTCGAGCAAGCCGAGCGGGCTTAAATGGCCCTCAATGGGCTCGAAGGGCCTAAATGGGCCTCACCGACTGGTTCCGTACTGGGGCGATGTCTTGGGCCTCTAAACAGTAACAGGCCGGGATAATATATCCAACACAAGTCCCCCAGTTTCTTGAGTAGTGAGCTTGTGAATCTACTCGAGAAAGTATACTCTTGCTCACGTTCTTCCTTTCCTTCCCTGGATCGATGTGTCTGAATAGTCTTAGATGCAAGGCATGCATAAGTGATAGGTGAGGTGCAGTCCCTACGCTAGGCACAACTGTGGTGAAGAGCCAGCCGTTTGTGCTGAGAAAGCAGCAGACGGTGATAAGTCGAACTTCAAGCTAAGTTTTTTCATCCTGTGTTTAGCATTGTCTTAGTCTTCCCATTGTATTTAGCATTTTTTTCGTCCCTTGTATCTTTTGGACGGTAGCTCTGAAGAATACGAGGATTTCACTGTGGTGAGTCCAACTACGGTGGTGAGTCCACTTCCAAAGCCGATTTATCTTAATCTTTCCATTGTGTAGCATTGTATCATCCCTTGTATCTTCCGGACGGTAGCTCTGTCTTTCAACCATAGCTTCGATCTCCCGTTCGATCCGTCTGGGTTTGATCCGACGTCCGCTTGGTTCGTTCATGTTCCTGGTTTAACATCATCTTCAAACTGGTTTGAAGACCTCGATCGATCATCCGGAGCGCAAGGTCAAACCTAGCTAAGACGATGGCTCTCCTCCAGACCGAAGTGAGGATGCTCGTTCGGCCATCCAGAATGATTCACTAACACCAGCGATCGAAGTGAGGCTTTTAACCATAACTTCGATTCCCCGTTCGGTCCGCCTCGGTTTGACCTGGCATCCGCTCGGCTCGTCCATGCTCATGGTCGAACATCATCTTCAAACTGGTTTGAAGCCCTCGTTCGGTCATCCGGAACGCAAGATCAAACCTAGCTAAGACGATGGGTCTCCCGCAGACCGAAGTGAGGATCTTCGTTCGGTCATCCAGAACGATTCACGTACACCTGCGGTCGAGGGGAGGTTTTTAACCATAGCTTTGATCCCCTGTTTGGCCCGCCTCGGTTTGACCTGGCGTCCGCTCGACTCATCCATGCTCCTGGTCGAACATCATCTCCAAACTAGTTTGAAACCCTCATTCGGTCATCCGGAACACAAGGTCATACCTAGCTAAGACGATGGCTCTCCTGCAGACCGAAGTGAGGATCCTCGTTCGGTCATCCAGAACGATTCACGTACACTTGTGGTCGAGGGGAGGCTTTTAACCATAGCTTTGATCCCCCGTTCAGTCAGCCTGGGTTTGACCCGGTGTCTGCTCGGCTCGTCCATGCTCCTGGTCGCACATTCAGTCGGATAACTAACTCATGACAAATAATCTTCAGGTGTATGCCTGACATATCTTCTGGTCCCCTTGCGAACAGAACCTAGAACTCCATGATTACTGCCTAAAGCATCGGTTCTGACCCTGAGTGGTATGGGCGGACTCGACCGAGATCTGGATTGTGTGAGGGTCTTGTAGGTGCCCTCTGCCCATGGTACGATGGCGTTGTGGGGCCGGTCGTACTTCATAAGACGGTGATCCCCCTTGTAAAGGCGTGGGAGGACCCGACCGTGATCTGGAATGTGTGAGGGTCTTGCAGGCGCCCTCTGCCCATGGTACAATGGCGTTGTGGGGCCGATCGTAATGCATAAGATGGTGACCCCCCTGTAAAGGCGTGGGAGGACCCGACCGTGATCTGGAATGTGTGAGGGTCTTGCAGGCGTCCTCTGCCCATGGTACGATGGCGTTGTGGGGCCGATCGTACTGCATAACACGGTGATCCTCCCCCTGTAAAGGCGTGGGGGAACCGACCGTGTTGGACAGTGGATGTGAGGTTGCCCGTCCTGGAGTGTGATCTGAATGCTGGTCTCACAGCCCTCGACCGTGATGGTCTCGTTTGGGCCATCGGCCTCCTGGTTGATATGCTCATCTCATGGCCCTCGACCGTGATGGATTCCTTGGGGCCCTCGGACTTCTGGTGGATACGCTCATCTCCCGGCCCTCGGCCGTGATGGTCTTCTCGAGTATGTCGTGATACCTACACCTTTGTAGTCTTTCTCTTTTCTATTCTCTCTCTTTTCTTTTCTTTCTCCTTTCTTTCTCTTTTCTTTCCTTTTCTTTTCTTTCCTTTTCTTTTCTTTTCTTTTCTTTTCTTTCTTTTTTCTTTTCTTTCTCTTCTTTCTCTTTTCTGTTGCCAATTATGAATGTATCTGCGCTTCATACCGAACGTCATTGATATCCTCGCTCGAGTCTATCGAACTTCTTGGAATGATTCTATTTACGTTGCTCAATCATGAATGTCTCTGCGCGTCATGCCGAACGTCATTGATCTCCCCGCTCAAGTCTATCGAACGGATTTGAATGATTCTCTTTACGTTGAATGATTCAGAACATCGAACGGTAAGTGTCGTACGCCATAGAGGAACGGCTTAGCTAGTTGATGATCGGCGACAGGCTGGAGACTGAGGTTGTCTTTCCTTGTCATCATCGCCAGTTTGCTCTAACGGGACCTTCTATCCCTGCCAGACGGAAATTGGTTTGGTCTTGGAGCTAGGTGGTGTTGTGACAGAATTCTGGGCGCCGGCGTGCCGGGAAATTCCCGTTCGGCACAGATATGAGGTATGTAGACCCCATCTTCCCCTGACATTTCACAAAGCTAAACCATACATTCTCCCAGAATCTTTCCCGCTTGGGAACGCAACATTGTGGGTGGTCCGGTGTATTTGTGTGTTTACCCTTAGTTATCCTGTGTGCTAGAGCTAAGCTTGGGGCGCCTTTCTAGTCGGGAAGACTTTTGAAGTTCTCATTCGGGTTGTAAATTACAGGTGAGTTTAAGGAGAACGTGCCGACCAGGGGTCGCTGTCTGGTTATGGCCATGAATGTCGGGGAAATCAAGACCGTTCGGGCAAGGGGCATGGCTGTTTCTTTATGACATCTTTTTTTATCTTGTGTTGTCTTGGCCGGGATGGTGAATCTATCATCTTGAGTTATGTTAACCTGCCGCCATCGGGTATGACCAGCCCTCTCCGTGAGCTACCTCTTGGTTTGGGGTACATTTGGACATGCAGCCCTCGCCCGTTCAGCCCCCTGTAAGAGATGGTGTACTGGTAGGCCCCTGGGATTCCCTTCTCAGGATAACTATTAATCTACCAAATCGTCCATCATGGTGTCATGTTCCCCACGTGATAGTAGGAGGCCACTTAGCAGTTGGGGATAATGCGGGTCCCATTCACCACTTGGATCCCCTGCAGCTCTCTCCTCTGCTAAGCTCCCGACAGTTCTTCCTTGGTAGCAGCTGCCTTGGTGAAGCTACCTTGAGCATCTTGGCTTACGCAGGTCGTCTAGCTGGAGCATGGTCTGTGTTCTACCTCAAATCAGGAACTCTTTGGTTGCTTTTCCCCCTGTTGTACCCTGGAAGGTTGCTGCTTCTCTCGAGACTGCTTTTTCCCTTCTATGGAATCATTTTTTCCTCCATTTCTCCTGAAACTGGTAGCTTTTCCGCATCCACTTTTTCCCATGGAGGGGTGTTTTTCAAACTTATTTCCCAAACTAAGGTACTTTTAAACTTATTTTCCAAGTAGGGGTATTTTTTGCCATGTCACCTCATTATCACTGCTGGGCGCCACATCAGCTTATCCACATCATCTCATCAATTCCATGTCATCAATTTTGAGAGTTTAAGTGTTTTTCTAAAATATAGAAAAAAATGAAGCCAACAAGATTCGAACCTGGGTGGAACACAAGAGAGGCATGTACGTGAACCACTACACTACACCATTCATTTGTTAACAAATGTCTTTTAAGAAGTATAAATCATGTATCCTTCACCCATGGAGTGCACTATTTCTTAATCACATGTATTATTCGTTCCTTCAGAAATATCTCTTTACCAAACAATAAAAAATGTAATAATAAAAAACTGAATTTGAGTTATTCAATTAAAAATCTTATTAAAACTTATAATAAAAACATAATTTGCTAATTTAATTTGAAAAATAAAGAAATATTTAACTTAGAATACAAAAAATTAATTTAAACTTAATTATAATGAAAAAACACAATTTGGAATATGTATTTTTTTTAAATATCTTAGCTTCAAATGAAATAAAATCAAATAAAATATAAGTCATATTTCTAAGTTACTTATTGCATGAAATTTACTTATTTTTTATTTTATTTACTTTTGAGTTATTTCAAATAACTTTTAAATTATAAACTTCAATTTTTTTTTATAAATTTAAATTACATTTTTATAGAATTAAATATCGCAAACTAAGCTTTTCATTGTGATTATTTCGTTATAGCAGCTCAACTCTTCTCGACTCGGTTCATTTTTATAGAATTAAATACTAGGTTTGTGATAATTAAAAATAAAGACTTAATTAAAATTTATTGTTACTAAATGTTATGAAAGGCTCTAACCCACCCCAATTTAAAATCGGATACTATTCATGTCAAGAAAATCATATAATATTTATCTAAGAAAGAAAAAACTTGATAAATTTATCAACGAAAAATGCTTGGTTCCGAGGCGGAGTAGAGCTGAGGCTAAACAAAATTGAGCTGTTAGAGAATTTTCATAAAGAAAAATTTATACGATATTTTACATTAATATTAAATCTTTTATAGAATTTAAAGTGGACTAGCATGAAATTTACTTATATTTTCTTTTATTTTATAAGTTTTTTATACGATATTTTATTTTTACTTATATTTTATTTTATTTTATAAGTTTTTTATGCGATTAAGAAATAGTGCACTCCCGGGGTGAAGGATACATGATTTATACTTCTTAAAAGGCATGTGTTAACAAGTGAATGGTGTAGTGTAGTGGTTTACATACATGCCTTTTTTGTGTTCCACCCAGGTTCGAATCTTGTTGGCTTCAATTTTTTTCTATATTTTAGAAGCAGCTAAACTCTCAAAATTGATGACATGGAATTGATGGGATGATGTGGATAAGCTTATGTGGCGCCTAGCAGTGATACTGAGGTGACATGGCAAAAAATACCCCTATTTGGGAAATAAGTTTAAAAGTACCTTAGTTTGAGAAATAAGTTTGAAAAACACCCCTCCATGGGAAAAAACTCGTTCTTCCTTGGTAGCAGCTGCCTTGGTGAAGCTACCTTGAGCATCTTGGCTTACGCAGGTCGTCTAGCTGGAGCATGGTCTGTGTTCTACCTCAAATCAGGAACTCTTTGGTTGCTTTTCCCCCTGTTGTACCCTGGAAGGTTGCTGCTTCTCTCGAGACTGCTTTTTCCCTTCTATGGAATCATTTTTTCCTCCATTTCTCCTGAAACTGGTAGCTTTTCCACATCCACTTCTCCAACAAAATCAAGAACAACAAGTTATGCTTTTTGATCTTTTCCCACAGACGGCGTCAATGTTGTGTTTTAGTCCAACATAAACTAATAGAATATAGATATAATCTGATATAACACTCGATATTTACGTGGAAACCCGGAAATGGAGAAAACCACGAGACTTTTTAGGCTAACGTCCAAGTCCACTCTTTCTCATTAACTCTCCTCATCAAAATACATGTACAAATGTTGAAGCTCCGTTAATGGAGATTGAATAACTAAGCTAAAATAAGAAGCAGCTAGGGAGGAGAGCCGGTTAAAATCAGATCCCTTTACATGGAAGCAAGACTTCCTATTTATAGAAAAAGGGGGTGGGGGCTTTCTAGCCTAATGGATTACAGGAAGAATTAATATTTAAGGAGAGAAGTTAAGAAAACAACTCACAACTTTAATGATCAACAAGCTTCAAGAGCAAAACCAAGAAATGGAAGTTTAGCTCCTCATTTGGAGACTAAACATAGCTAAAAAAAATATAAAGAAATGCTATTTTAAACTGAGCTTAAAAGTATGGAAGAAGGAATATAAAAATAGGAAGGAAAAGAGGTGTATTTATAGGTGTTTTGGTGAGGTTGGGTCTGATACCCGACCGGTATAGAGGATACCCGACCGGGTATCTATGGCAGTAGCCACGAAAGTGTTGAAATCTAGTGATACGTGATACCTGACCGGGTATGTCAATATACCCGACCGGGTATATGACCAAATCTGATTTTCCCACATTCTCTTGCTTTATTTGATTTTGTAAATCTCCGGGTCAAGTCATACCTGACCGGGTATCAAAAATAGTCGACCGGGTATGACACTAAATCGCATTTTTTGCATGATTTCTTGCTCCCTTGCACCTTCCTTTGATTTTGTAAGATCCATTCCATGATTCTTTGTTGATCCTTGATTAATTCTTGCTTATGATGATTCTAAATTTACTAAATTACAACAAACTAGAAAAATAAAATGATTGCACCGTAAATGTGCAATTACCACAACAATGCACCGTAACAACTAATTAAATGTAAAAATATAAACACACAAAAATCAATGCAACCAACTCCCCCACACTTGGTCTTTTACTCGTCCTCGAGTAAAATCATAAAGTTCTTCCCCATCAAAAGAGTTTCAACAAGATTAAAGAAAAATAGAAGTGTTTTCTTTTTCAGTTAAATTTCATCCCCACCGTATAAAGTTATTGTTTCTCCCTCCAAATGCGTGTTATGGTGAAAATGAACTCCTGCAAAAAAAACCTTCTCTCAATTATCTCCTTTTGCCTATGAGTCATTTCAGGTTTTCATCCCAGCATCTTTTTTTTGACTCACTCATTTTCTTTTTTTTTTGCTATTGTTGCTTAGGTTGCCCGTTCGGGTTTTCAACCCAACTAGCATTTCTTCTTTTTATTATTCTTTTTTTCTTCTTTTTTTCTTTTTTTGAAAATACAATGTAGAAGAAATACCATATATAAAATGAAGAGGCTTCTCCCCCCTTACTAAATCAGGCATTGTCCCTACTGCTCATCTTTGTCGTTGCTTGAAGTTTTTTCTTCTTCTTTTTTTTCAAAAAAAAAATTGTGCATTTTGGAGAGAGAGAGTGAAAGTTTCCAAAAGTTACGTGGAGCAAGAGGAAAGTGATGGGAGCAATATTATGATTTGGGGGGGGGGGAGGTTTGGTGTATGATTTGGGTAGATTTTTGAAGAAAGAAAGATATGTTACGTTATGGTTATGTGGTTTGAGGTGATTAGGGAGGAGTTGTATGGTGATAGAGTATATAGACTCGGACCCCCGGGTCTCACGACTATTGGGCCCGGACAGCGGTCCACACACATCTTACGGATATCATTTGTATTATTGTACTGCTTATATGTCATTTGTATGTAACTATGTACTAGATTAGTCTTTTATGTAGTTGGGCTACCGGGCCCATATTAGCGGCCCGGCCCATTATTTCCCTATTTATACTCCTCTTGGAGCCATTTGTAACCCTAACTCATAATTCATACACAATATCATTTCTACTATTCATCCATCTTCTCCAATTATCTAGCTCAATCTCTCCATTTTAATATACTTTGGATACTCTATAATCCATCAATGGTGCTTTCATTGAGAGATTAGAGCAAAATCAAGTGAGAGATCCTCCCAAAAATATCAAAAAATCTCAAACGCAGCAAATCTTGAAAAAAATCATTCTGCAAGAATCAAAAACACAAAAAAATCAGATCTGGAATTGTCAGAATCCGACCCCCGCCCAGCTTCTGGAAAGTGAGGAAGAAGGACGTTGGGGGCTCGTGACTGGAACGAGGACTTGGAAGTGATGTACCATTAGCGACCCCAAGCACGAGTTCTGCCGCCCCCATGGCAGCGCCGCTCGCACAGCTCCGGTCGCCAGCTCCGGTCACCATCTTCCCAGTCATTTCTCCGGTTGTTAAGCTCTAAACCACGAATTTCCGCCATTAATGGTGGTTCAAAGGTCAGAGAAGGATCGTTGCGGCTGATGGTCATCATCGAGTACTCCATGGCCAGAACTAGATGTCTGCAACCTGGCGTGCGGCGCGGCTGAGTTGACTCTGCAGCTGTTGCCTTCGAAAAATGACAACGAAGGCCAAATCTCGAAGTGGCCTAAAGGGATTCGCCGGAGAAGCTACGCACGGAAGCAAGGACGTCCACCGGCGGCGCCTCTCACCCAGCAGTAGAGATGTCTGAAGCGGCTGCTCAGCCTCGTGACCTCCGGCTCTGAGGCGGCCCCATTCTGGCGGTGAAGCTCCACCAAGACGAATGAGTGAAGATGGAGGGCTTGAGTTCTATCGGGTCAGGACTTGGTTCAAGCCAAAGTTAATGGGCTGTCCAACTGGGATGGGCTCCATTATCAACAAATTATCTCAAACAGTCCAAATATAAGAAGCTAAGTACCCCAACTTTCCTCCTATTTATACACTTACAATATTTATTAAGTGATAGTAGTATAATTATTACTATTATTAATTATATTATTTCCACCACCATTATGGCGGGTTAAAAACCCCCGGGGTGGTGAAGACCATTATGAGGGATTAAAATTTCTCGAGGTCGTTAATGAAAATTTATTATTGGCGTTATTATTTTTATCATCACCATTAGAGCGGGTCAAAAACCCCAAAGTGGTGGACCCGAGCTCTAGTCTACCGAACATCTTTATTTGATGATTCGGATTATATTTAGGTCCATCGACCTACCCTAGTCACCTTTATTTGGTGACTCGGGCATCTGAAAATGAGAGCCGCTACCGGCCGCACATGGCATTATGCCCGAGAGCGGTAAACGGTACACCTCGTTCTCCGAGACGTTAATCGCGTCGCCCAAAAGTCGTTGCCATGAACAACGCACCTATTGTATTCCGCTTATTTTTTGGAAATGTAGATAGAAGATACCACGTGTCGTATCGGCAGCCTTCGAGCGAAAAGCTCGGGTCTGCTCCACTTTGTATTTTGTATCAGCGAAGGGCTCAGGCCTAGCTGAGAGAGCACATCGTCCTGGCCCCGTAAGCCTAGAGTGAAACGCTCAGGTATGGCCGACGATGTCCCCAGGACGAGGGGCCCGCAAACGGCCCACGTCTTGAAACGGGAAGCTCACCGCGCCGTCCACACGCCAGATCGCAGGACGACAGGCCTGAAATCATGGTCGAAGTGACCAAATCCCAAAACTCAGGGATGGGCAACGGCAGCCGTTGGAAACCAACCAAAAATCTAGCCCGCGTCATAAATAGGCGACGGGACCCCCCTGAGATCACGGACGTTATAAACGAAGTCCGAACCGTCCGAAGGACGAGCACACCCTTCGGCCGAAGCCTGAAAGAAGGATACTCCCCGAAATAGGGAACGGAAACGGAAATAAAAAAAAGGGAAAAAGAAAAAATAAAAGAGGGAAGCCGAGGACCGCGCGCACTCGCCGTCCTCGAGCAACAAAAAATGAAATCCCCACAACAATACTAAGTACATATCAGGCAAATACTACACATTATGGACGAAGCAAGACCATACATGCGGATTAGACGAGCGCCCAACGCCGTCCCTCATCTTAGACGAGCGCCCAGCGCCGTCCTCCATTTGTAGACGAGCGCCCAGCGTCGTCCCTCATTTTCAGACGAGCGCCCAGCGCCGTCCTTCATTCTTGGACGAGCGCTCAGCGCCGTCCTTCATATTTTAGAAGAGCGCCCAGCGCCGTCCTTCATTCTTAGACGAGCGCCCAGCGCCGTCCCTCATGTTCAGACGAGCGCCCAACGCCGTCCATCATCTCAGACGAGCGCCCAGCGCCGTCCATCATCTCAGACGAGCGCCCAACGCCGTCCATCATTTCTCAGACGAGCGCCCAGCGCCGTCCCTCATTATAGGACCGGCTCCTCATCGCCGTTGTCCTCACATCATGACCGGCCCCTCGGCCTCGACGTGATCATCTATCTCAAGACCGGCTTCCTCAGCGCCGCGAGTCTTGAGCTGGCGATCGGGCTCATCATCCCTTCCCAGATGGTGACCATCGCCTCTATATGACGATCGGCTTCACCATCGCCTCGTCATCATTATTTGGACCGACTCCTCATCGCCGTTGTCCTCACATCACGACCGGCCCCTCGGCCTCGGCGTGATCATCTATCTCAAGACCGACTTCCTCAGCGCCGCGAGTCTTGAGCCAGCGATCGGGCTCACCATCCCTTCCTGGATGGTGACCATCGCCTTTATATGACGATCAGCTTCATCAGCGCCTCGTCATCATATTATAGGACCGGCTCCTCATCGCCGTTGTCCTCACATCATGCCCGGCCCCTCGGCCTCGGCGTGATTATCTATCTCAAGACCGGCTTCCTCAACGCCGAGAGTCTTGAGATGGCGATCGGGCTCATCATCCCTTCCCGGATGGTGACCATCGCCTTTATATGATGATCGGCTTCACCATCGCCCCGTCATCATTATTTGGACCGACTCCTCGTCGTCGTCCTCATATCACGATCGACCCCCTCGGCCTCGACGTGATTATTTATCTCGAGACCGGTCTTAGTCATCCCTTCCCGGATGGCGACCGTTGCATGGATCTTCGGACCGGCCCCTCAGTGCCTTCGTCCTCATATCACGACCGCCCCCCTCGGCCTCGACGTGATTATTTATCTCGAGACCGGTCTTAGTCATCCCTTCCCGGATGGCGACCGTTGCATGGATCTTTGGACCGACTCCTCATCGTCGTTGTCCTCACATCACGACCGGCCCCTCGGCCTCGGCGTGATCATCTATCTCAAGACCGGCTTCCTCAGCGCCGCGAGTCTTGAGCCAGCGATCGGGCTCACCATCCCTTCCTGGATGGTGACCATCGCCTTTATATGACGATCAGCTTCATCAGCGCCTCGTCATCATATTATAGGACCGACTCCTCATCGCCGTTGTCCTCACATCACGACCGGCCCCTCGGCCTCGGCGTGATCATCTATCTCAAGACCGGCTTCCTCAGCGTCGCGAGTCTTGAGCCAGCGATCGGGCTCACCATCCCTTCCTGGATGGTGACCATCGCCTTTATATGACGATCAGCTTCATCAGCGCCTCGTCATCATATTATAGGACTGGCTCCTCATCGCCGTTGTCCTCACATCATGCCCGGGCCCTCGGCCTCGGCGTGATTATCTATCTCAAGACCGGCTTCCTCAGCGCCGAGAGTCTTGAGCTGGCGATCGGGCTCATCATCCCTTCCCGGATGGTGACCATCGCCTCTATATGACGATCGGCTTCACCATCGCCTCGTCATCATTATTTGGACCGACTCCTCATCGTCGTCGTCCTCATATCACGATCGACCCCCTCGGCCTCGACGTGATTATTTATCTCGAGACCGGTCTTAGTCATCCCTTCCCGGATGGTGACCGTTGCATGGATCTTCGGACCGGCCCCTCAGTGCCTTCGTCCTCATATCACGACCGGCCCCCTCGGCCTCGACGTGATTATTTATCTCGAGACCGGTCTTAGTCATTCCTTTATCGAATGATGACCGTTGCATGGATTTTTGGACCGGCCCCTCATCGCCGTCGTCCTCACATCATGCCCGGCCCCTCAGCCTCGGCGTGATTATCTATCTCAAGACCGGCTTCCTCAGCGCCGAGAGTCTTGAGCTGGCGATCGGGCTTACCATCCCTTCCTGGATGGTGACCGTCGCCTTTATATGACGATTGGCCCATCATGGCCTCGTCATCATTTATTGGAACGGCTCATCATCGCCGTCATGCTCACATCGCGGCAGACCCCTCGGTCTCAACGCGATCTTGAGCTAGCGACTGGGCTCACCATCCCTTCCTGGATGGTGACCATCGCCTCTATATGACGGCCGGCTCATCATTGCCCCGTCATCATATTTCGGATTGGCTCTTTTCATCGCCATCCGCGCATCACGACCGGCCCCTCGGCCTCGGCGTGACTATCTATCTCAAGACCGGCTTCCTCAGCGTCGAGAGTCTTGAGCTAGCGATCGGGCTCGCCATCCCTTCCTGGATGGTGACCATCGCCCTTATATGACGATTGGCTTCATTCTTGCCTCGTCATCATATTATCTGATCGGCTCATCATTGTCATCCGCACATCGCGATCAGCCTCTCGGCCGCGACGTGATTATTTATCTCAAGACCGGCTCCCAGCGCCGAAGTCTTGTTATAGCGATTGGGCTCGCCATCCCTTCCCGGACGGCGACCGTCGCCCCTATATGACGCACGGCTCATCATCGCCTCGTCCTCACATTTAGAACGGCCCCAACGCCGAAGTCCTTATCTAGCGACCAGGCTCGCCATTCCCTTCCTGGATGGTGACCGTCGCCTTCATATGACGCATGGCTTATCATCGCCTCGTCCCCATATTCGGACCGGCTCAACAGCGCCATCGTCCCCATACTCGGACCGGTTCGTCAGCGCTGTCGTCCTCATATTCGGACCGACTCATCAGCGTCGTCGTCCTCATATTCAGACAGGCGTCCACCGCCTCGTCCCCCTATTCAGATATAGTGAACATCTTGCGGTCTCCGGCCGAAAGGCTAAAGGAGCCCAGAGTTCAGCCATATATCGCTCCGTCATCTTTATTTGATGACGCGAAGCTCATTTGCAGGCCCATCGGCCATATATCGCTCTGTCATCTTTATTTGATGATGAAGAGCTCATTTGTAGGCCCATCGGCCATATATCGCTCTGTCATCTTTATTTGATGATGAAGAGCTCATTTGTAGGCCCATCGGCCATATATTGCTCTGTCATCTTTATTTAATGACGGAGAGCTCATCTACAGGACCATCGGCCATATATCGTTCTGTCATCTTTATTTGATGACAAGGAACTCATTTGTAGGCCTCTGAGCCACATCTTGCTCCGTCATCTTTATTTGATGACGCGAAGCTCAGTTGCAGGCCCATTGGGCATATATCGCCTCGTCATCTTTATTTGATGACGTGAAGCTCATTTACAGGCCCATCGGCCATATCTCGCTCCGTCATCTTTATTTGATGACATGGCGCTCTCATATAGGCCTCTCTCGGCCATACATCACCCCGTCGTCTTTATTTGACGACGTGGAGCTCTTATGCAGGCCCCTCGGCCGCACCATCGCCCCGTCGTCTTTATTTGACGACGTGGAGCTCTTATGCAGGCCCCTCGGCCGCACCATTGCCCCGTCGTCTTTATTTGACGACGTGGAGCTCTTATGCTGGTCCCTCGGCCGCACCATCGCCCCGTCGTCTTTATTAGACGACGTGGAGCTCTTATGCAGGCCCCTCGGCCGCACCATCGCCCCGTCGTCTTTATTTGACGACGTGGAGCTCTTATGCAGGCCCCTCGGCCGCACCATCGCCCCGTCGTCTTTATTTGACGACGTGGAGCTCTTATGCAGGCCCCTCGGCCGCACCATCGCCCCGTCGTCTTTATTTGACGACGTGGAGCTCTTATGCAGGCCCCTAGGCCGCACCATCGCCCCGTCGTCTTTATTTGACGACGTGGAGCTCTTATGCAGGCCCCTCGGCCGCACCATCACCCCGTCGTCTTTATTTGACGACGTGGAGCTCTTATGCAGGCCCCCCGGCCGCACCATCGCCCCGTCGTCTTTCTTTGACGACGTGGAGCTCTTATGCAGGCCCCTCGGCCACACCATCGCCCCGTCGTCTTTATTTGACGACGTGGAGCTCTTATGCAGGCCGCTCAGCCGCACACATCACCCAATCGTCTTTATTTGACGACGTGGAGCTCTATGCAGGTCCCTCGACCATACATCGCCTCGTCGTCCTTATTCGACAACGTGGAGCTCTCGTACAGGCCTCTCGGCCCATCGGCTTTACGTTCTGGTCATCTTTATTTGATGAACCAGACATCATATTGTGGACGGTCGCTCGACCCATCCCTTAGTCATCTTTATTTGATGACTAGGACTACTGATCATGATGAGCTACCCACATCTAGAGATCGGCCTCGACCATCCAGCAGACGGGCACCGTTGCAGCTCCATCTCCAGGCCGAAGGGTCCGCACCTTTTGTTTCATTTTGGGGGCATCCGGTGTACTCTTTTTCCCTCATTAGGATTTTTTCCCACAGGGTTTTTCCTAATGAGGTTTTTAACGAGGCATCTCCCCATCGTGGATCAAAAGGTGTCAACCCTCGCCCCCCTGTTGAAGACATCATCCGACACGCATTACTCTACTCCTCTTCACCTCATTACACTCGCCTCAAGGAGTGGGGGACTGGAAGAGCAGGGGACTTAGCGCCTCTGTTAACCAAAGAAGCAGAAATTCAAATTTTATTCACGAAGTTTACTCACCAGACGACGACAGATCAACACACAGTTCTACTCTCTTTCGCCTCGAATACTCTCGACTCAGAGAGTGGGGGACTCCTGATAGAGTATATAGACTCGGACCCCCGGGTTTCACGACTATTGGGCCCGGACAGCGGCCCACACAAATCTTACGGATCTCAGGCCCAACTAGGCCAAGTACATATCAGTTGAACACAAGTGTAGTACCACTGACAGGTAACATGGACGACACGTCCACACACCACAAGAGAATGGTCAAGGTCGAAACATACGCCTATAAAACCCTAACCGAATCAGTTGGGTGACACGCGAGAGGTAACCTTCATCAGCCACAGTCCTTTGAAGCACCAACGTTTGGTATGAAACAAAGAATCACAATCCTGAGGATGACCAGGACGAAGCGGGCACTTATCACACCCACGGAGGAATTAAGCAATCAAGAAACAATCCCTACTTGCCACAACATCCCGGATAGCCGATACAGGCACTGGAACCCAGGCTGTTGGTCAAGCGAAAGTTCTTTGGGGATTTGTCCAAGTGTTTACCAAACACTTAGAGAAAATTCTGAGGAAAAAGGTTCCTCAAGAAGGAACTATGTCTTAGCCGATGCAGGTAGGGCCATCTCTTTGGGAAAGCAAGGGGCACCCTCATCGGCCTCAAGCCAGACCTTGGCCGATAAAGGTATGGCCAGCTCTTAGCTGGCAGCGGTACCCCAAAGAAGGAACTATGCCTTACACTTATACTTTGTTGAAAAATCTCGAAGTACTTAAACGGAGAAACTCTAGACGAAGTGGGCACCTGTATACTCAAAGGCCGTTAGCTACCCACGCCTTGCTTATGTACTTAGAAAAATTCTATGTTCAAAAAACTATGTCAAAGTACCCTTATCGGCTACAACACAAGGATGCAGGCCGACCTTCCTGATCAGATCAGGAACGAGGGAACACGACGGCCATGAAAAACACTGGGCCGACAACGACAGTGGTTCAACACTTGGGAAATCTCCCAAATCATTCGCCAATAATGGGGAGAGACTCAATACCAAGACGATGAGAACACCCATCCACTTGGAGTTAGACACTTAGAAAAATTCTAACAAAAAAGGAAAATGGGACAACACCAGGCCGGGAAGAAAGAAACTAAGTGGACCCAAACACTTAGGAAATTTTTGCATAAATCCTAAGTGTTATGATAGTAAAGAAACGACGGCCAGGCCGACCAGGCCACCGGACAGGATGGACTACCTCACGGACGTAGCGGACACTCGCGGGTGACCCAAGTTATAACTTTTACACTTAGACAAATTTCAGAATTGAAATGGCAAAGGGCAGTAAACATACAAGAAATTCCAAGCCGAGAAGGACAGCAAAATTTCCATTCATAAGCAATTCATTACGATGGTGGGCGTTTCGGCCGTTACATCAATGGGGCAAAAATAGAAAATTAATTACAAGGGGGCGGGGAGTAGCCGATCAAGCCTCTTGGGCGCCTCCCTCCTCGGCTGGCTCTTCGACGTCTTCGGCTCCCTCCTCGGCCTCAGTCCCCTGGCCAGCAGCAGCCGCCGAACTGGTGGCATCGTCCAAGAAGTCAAACTCCGTGTAATCCGGCTCGCCGAGGCCGGAACTCTCAATGGGGGACTCCCGCTCCGACAGAGGAAGCTTGGTCTGCTCTTCGGGATCTTTCATCAGCTTGGGAAGCTTCAAGTTCCGTCTAGCCCACCCGGAAGTGTAATTCATGGCCTTAAGAGCACGAGATAGCTGCCGACACAGGAGCCTCTGCATCCGCTCCTGGCCCATGTTATAGTACACGGCCATCTCCCTGCTGAAATACTCCTGGCCGGCGGGGGAGTTCATCCCCCAATTTTCAAGCTTAGCGGCCACCACCTCATAGCACCAGGAGAGCCGCTCATCGTCCTTCCACCCCTCGGCCAGGAACTGCTCAACGACCTCATCAGCAGCCTTCACAACGGCAGTCTCGGCCTCAGCTTTCGCCTTCACGACTTCATCGTTTTTGCGCCGCTCGGCCTCAAGCGCCCTTTGGCTCTCCTCGAGTTTGGCCAGGGCATCGTCCCTGGCTGCAGCGGCCTCGTCGGCCTTCTGTTGCAAGGCCTTGGCATCCTCCCGGAGCCGATCCAAGCAAGCTACCGCCTCATCGGCCGAGGCAGCTTTCTGCTCAAGCTCTTTCAGCCAAGCTATCTCCCGGTATTGCCTCTTGTGGCTCTCCATGAGCATGAAGGCACCCTGCAAAAAAAAGAAGGCAAACAAAACTCAGGCAAATGATTCCACCCGGACGACGAGGAAAACGACAAACAAAAGGAGGGGAACTTACTTGAACGAGGAGGTCCATCCCGCCCTCGTACACCTTCATGTCCCCGAGCCTCTTCAGGTAGGCCCTATCTTTGGCCGACATGGCCTGGGCCAGCACATCGTGGCCGAGGACGACGTCATCAAAAACACCCCCGCCGACGGGGTATTCCACCATCTTCTGGTAGGTGGCACCGACAATCTCCTTGCCGGCCCTCTTCGTCCGTGGCTCCTGGACGAGAGGGAGCGATTGGGCAGCATCGCTAGGAGCAGCAGTGAGGTCCACAACAGGACAACTTTCGTCCACACTGGGGACGGTCAGAGTGCCGGCCTCAGTAGCCGGGGAAGGAGACGGTGCCCTCTTCATCTTCTTGGTGACGTTCAGGCCGGCCTCAGTCAACTTCTTCTGGCCGTCAGTGGGAGGCCTCTTCTTCTTGGACTGGGCAGGCTTTGGGGCCGCACCAGCAGTAGCCCCGCCTCCCTCGGCCGCGGCACGTCTGGCCGCCTCGACCGCCATTGCAGCCAACTCCTCGGCCGCCTTGGCCTTGGCTATAGCCATGATGGAACGACGATCCATGACAAAATCTACACAAAGGAAAAACAACAGGTTAACAAGGCAAAAGAACAAATCATAAAGAAAGAAAGCCGAAGAAATAATTACCATCGGCCTCAGCAGAAATAATTACAAAATAATTCAGAATGCAAATGAGGTTTCTCGTCGGAGGGGGAGGGGTATTTATAGACCCCCCCACCCAACGGTCACTACACGTGGCACCCTCCCAATGGCCACATCAACGGCCACCAATGGGAGGCCACCACGTCACCAACGGGCCAGGCCCAACCCACATATCAACAGCCCACTGGCAAAACAGACTCTACGGCCTATACACTTGCCAGCTTCACGAGTGCCAGCAAGCGCCCACAACGTCCTACTTGCTTGCCAGGTTCACAAACGCCAACAATAAGGAGATGACAACGGCCAGGAACGTAATGAACGCCCGTAACGGCCACAGAACCAAAGGAAAAAAGAACCCACAGCCATCGGCTCCTCGTAATGACCCTTGATGATAACTCTTTACAAGCGATCTGCGCACAAGGGTTCTCCCACAGGGTTACCTTGGCCAGAAAATCGCCATGAGGGTTGGATTCAGGGGCACTACGAAGAGGCTGCTTCGGCCAGGGACTCAAACAACTCCTTCACCCCTCACATTCTTCGGCCTGAAGCAGTGGGGGACTGGGGGACTACACCGGCCTCAACAAAACAAAAGGAAAAATGCAAACACAAATGTAACCATGAAGCATGGCCGCATCGTCCATGTATCACACTGCGCCTCGTCGGCCAAAGGAACATAATATCATCAGCAAACGGCCAACAGGCCACCTAAGGCAAGGACACTCATCATCCTCCGCCAACAGTTAATCATAATGGGCTATTCGGCCAAGAACACGAAAACCAATCAACGACGGCCAAAAGGAGTGCGCAAGCACCCTCATCGGCCACCCAAAGGAAAGGACGCCATCGTCCTCGAAGCAAGGATCAACCTCAACGGCCTCATCGACCCAAATGTAAACTTCAACCATCAACGCCTAAGAAAGGGAAAGCGCGCCTTCAACGGCCACCATTGAAGCAGGACATTCATCGTCCCCAAACGAACACATCAAGGAAACAACGGCCTCCCCGCCCACAGCGAGGAGCGGGTAACGGCCAAAGCACAGAACATGATCACCGAAATGGAAACAACGCCAACGCCGCAACAGCTGAAGGCCTGGGAATGCCCGCATCGGCCAAAAGCACCAAAGCACGGGAATCTACTCTCCTTCACTTCGTCTGCATCTCAGCTTAGAGAGTGGGGGACTCCTGATGGAGTATATGGGTCTGAGCCCCCGGACCCACATACTCGGAAGAACAGAAAGCACAAGACACAGAGTGGCGCCCTCGTCAGCCAAGGGACCCCCGTCGCCCGAAAAGGTGCCAACTCAGATTATGGTCCTGAAGCCAAGGGACCCGGGTGCCCTCGTCGGCCGCGCCCTCGTCGGCCGTGCCCTCGTCGGCCACGCCCTCGTCGGCCACGAAGACTCCACAGAACCGGATTCTACACTTACTTATTTGTACAGCCCATTAGTGGCTTTGTATTCGGCCCAGTAGCGGTCCAGTTGTAAATAGGCCTCCCAGGCCCAAGGCTTGGGAGCCCAACCCGTATTTTCCCTATAAATACTCCCCTTGGGAGTAGTTATAGGGGTTACAAATTCATTCTATTGAAGCATATATTGCACTTCTCTCTCTAGCTCCCACTTCTCTCTAGGTATACACTATCATATGGTGTTTGGGAAGATTAAAGATCAAAAGAGGTGAAGATGAGGCTGCTGGGCAAAAACAAAACAAAAATTAAACAATCACGTATCTTGCTTGGGTTGCCTCCCAAGAAGCGCCTTATTTAACGTCGTGGCACGACGCCATCTTCTCAAGTTCAATCTTTAAGTCCCGATGGATCCAAAGCCCCAATACCAACCCTTGGATATGAAGTATGATCAATAAAACAAAATGTTTAAGAAAAGATTTATGGCTAATATTCTCACTCAATAGCTCCAATTGTATTAAGTATGTTGTAGATCGATCAAGTATCCTTCTCTCAATTATCTTCTTTTTGTCCATTTAGATTTATATTCCTTACTTATTTGGAATAAAGAATCATGTGTGTGGGTGTGTAAACACGAGTGATAAATTTGGATTTAAGGATAAACATATAGAAACAATAAAAAAATCAAAGTTATCAACAAAAGAAACACAAAGAAACAATATGCAACAAAAGTAACAATTAAATGATAGTAATAATGACTAAAATGTGTAAATTCACAATTATAAGTTTTTCAATTTATGATTTTTCAATTTCATTATTTTATTTTGTTCACCTTTTTACTTTGATTTTCAATATTTACACACTGTTTAATTTACTACTTTTTAATTCTAAGAACCTTGTTTAAATTTTAATTTGAATTTTTTAATTTTTTAAAATGTGATACTCTAATTTTTGCACAACTTTTCCATATTTCAGTATTGTTTAGTCTAAATTTTCACATTTTTAATAATTGTACATTTTTTCCGATTTTACCTAATCTTTTATATTTTTCTGACACTATAAAATTTTTAGTTGTCTTGCTTTTTTTTTTATAATTTTCTTCTTTTTTGATTTTTTAATGTATTTATCTTCATTTTATAGAATATTTTAGAATTTTTTATTTTTAGATTTTTTCGTCTTTCAAGAACTCTGATTATTTTTATATATTTCTGTAATCATGAAAATATTAATTATATGTATAATATGAAGTATGTAATTTTATTTAGTCCAAAAAATTATATGAAAAATAACTAAAATGGTCATCTATAGTAAAATAAAAAATTCAACTAGAAAAGTAACTACAAATTTACTTATTATGATTTTTATACAATTCAACGCGTGTTGATAGGAATTATTTCGAAATCGTCAAGCTACTTGATCTCAAGGTTCCCTCCTCCAACGACCAACTTCAACTTCTTGACCACTTCCTGCTATAATTTCACAATGTCAGAATTCAAAGGCAGTTGAAACCTTATGATATCTATTCGCTAAAAAACCGTTTAACAAGTCTTCAATTTTTTTTTTTAATTTATATATTCAATATTGATGTTATATGAAAGATAATGAAAAGTTATGAGTTTTGATATTTTTTTTATAAAATTGATGAAAAAAATAAAAAGTTATAAAGTTTTAAAGAAAAATGTGATTTTTATTTCATGGGCCCCACAAACGGTTTTTTCCCTCCTCTTGCGGCTTGTTCCCGTATTAGGCAGAAACCCCAAACCAATTGGGGACTTGTAAGTCGTCACTCCATTTGACGATTTTCTCCGACCGCAGTTAAAACTAGCAGTATTTTGGTAAATAAATCTAAGTCAATTTCCATTAGAGCACCTCCATTAGAGCATCTCCAATAGTTTTAAGTCAACCCTATTTTGTATTTTGTAAATAGTTTTTTTTTTATTTTAAAGAGTGACAAAAGTGATAATTTCCTTACCCTATTTTGTATTTTGTAAATAGTTTTCCTTACGCATCTCCATTCCTTATCTTTAATAATCAATTTTTTTATATGATTCTTACCATTTAAATATTGTTATGTAATTAATTATAAAATAATATCAAAATTTGTTTATATCTCTCAATCATCTTCAATAATCTATTTTTTCTCTGTCCTGCATTTATTTCTATTACATACATTTTTCAAATAACCTTAAAATAATCCGGATTCATACGTAATATTTTGATTCGAGATTATTGTAGCAAATAATCCTATTAAACAATCTATGTCACTCATCGATAATTCTCTAAAAAAACTGACATGTCGCCAATTTAATACTCCCTCCGTTCTTTAAAACTTTGCTAACTTTCTTTTTTTGGATGTCCCACTAAATTTGTCATTTTCCCTTTTAAATAAAGAATTTGTTGTTCCAGTTAATTCTCTCTCCTCCTCACAAATCTAACCGCATCATTTTTAAGGGACCGTGATAGTAAAGAATAATCCTCCCGATGAATGCCTTAGAACGCGAACCAAGAGTCGTCCAAATTGATCGAAATTTCAAAATTTGCCTCCAAGACAATGTTTTTAATTTTCTACCTTTTCGCAAGAGGGAAAAATTTGAGGCGCGTCAGTATTTCTGGACCTCCTGCCACGCTGGCGATCCGCGCTCCATTATGTCCACCAATTACAGTACACCACAATGACCTACATATACCATCCTCTCCTCTGAGTTTTTTCGTAGTCTTGAAAATACAGAACAACCGCACTCGCAGTTCAGCTTTCGCAACTTGGCTTTAGGGTTTATTTTGATAGAATTATGAGTTCAAGCGGAGCAGGTAAGGGTGCCGCCGTCGCCGGCAGAGGAAAGCCTAAGGCAGCGAAATCAGTCTCCCGATCATCGAAGGCCGGGCTCCAGTTCCCCGTCGGTAGGGTTGCCAGATTCCTCAAGTCCGGAAAGTATGCCGAGCGTGTCGGCGCCGGTGCTCCGGTTTATCTCTGTGCCGTTCTCGAGTATCTTGCCGCTGAGGTATTGGTTCACGATCTTTCAATAAGTCAATACTCCGACCTGAAGATTATTGAATTCATTTTATACTTGTTATTTCTCAAGATTCATGTTTGGAATTTGCTTGCAATCAATAGATCTATCTGTAAAATAAATTTGACGAATTCTCCAAAATTGAATTAGGTTTTGGAATTGGCCGGCAACGCTGCTAGGGACAACAAGAAGACTCGAATTGTGCCCAGACACATTCAATTGGCAGTGAGGAATGATGAAGAGCTGAGCAAACTTTTGGGAAATGTGACAATTGCCAATGGAGGTGTGTTGCCAAACATTCACCAGAATCTGCTACCCAAAAAAGCAGGCGGTGGAAAGGGCGATATAGGCTCTGCATCTCAGGAGTTTTAGGGTTTCGTCCAATTTGAACCATGTACAATAGCCATATGTTTTTCGTACAAGTTTTTTGAAGCTACTGATATCCCATACAAGCAAATGGAATAGCTGTTTTGGGTTTATATCTGTGTTTCCATTGTTGCTTGGCATTTCCATGTACTCAAAAGATTATTTGCTAATGGAATTGCATTTTTGGTTTCTATCGGTTATCTTTACTGAGGCGTTGATTTACATACTGCGCCTTAAGTTTTTGTGAACATCTATTGTATTTTTATGATGAGCCTTGGTCTAGTGTTTAATATTGGTGCTTCGTATTGAAAGAACTGGAAAAGTGTTTGGGCTGGTTTCTTATTAGTGTTCTTGAGCAGAAAGATGGCTTCTTTGTTGAGAATATTGTGTGGAACATCTTCAGAATGTGATTTTTTTGTAGATGAAACCTGTAGGGGAGTAGGGTCAAGTGAAATTGGCATTAGCATTCGATAATCTATCCTAGAACAAAGTCAGGAAACTCTACGATTGAACGGAATTTGCCATCAAGCAGAAAACAAAAACAGCCATCATTTTCAAGTCCAAATGACACAAAAATAGAGCTTTGCCAAGTGACTGTTGAGTATGATCGCTATGTGAATCAAGAGACCGTTTGCAGAGGCTGGATATGGTTTGTATATGTTCTGACTAACCTTCAAAGGGCCAGAAATTTTACCAGTAACACCACTCCATGAAAACCACTGTTTTTGATTTTGGGCTTGGTCTTCTGCACTCGTCTTCTGCAATTACATGGCCTCAAGGGCTGGGAGCAGTTGATAGGTTTTCGGTTGGATTTGGGCTTGGTCAATCTGTCCAGTTTTCTTGTACACTAAAAAATAACACTTGACAAGAAACAGCATGGTTTCATAATTGATATTTTGAATATCAAAATCCAAAACAATACATTCACAATTGCACGAAGAAAGACAGAAAGTATTACACTAAACAAAGAATTACTACAGATTTAAACGAAAATAATTACAGTCTGCCATAATCAAGTATAAATAATGATGAAGCATTGAAGCCCATAAACGAAACCACTTGAGTTTCACAAAATGAATGAAAGTTAGAGACCTGAAGTTTTGCAAATGTAATCATGAAAGTTCATTTGAGCTAAACATTCCTGTCTCCAATTCACATATGAATCTATGATCACGTGTATACAAAACAAAATTTAGGGGCTATTTACTTTCTTCTTGTATCATGTATTGTCGAGATAAATTGTCTCTTTAAATCATGTGATCCTTGTATCATCATCATCAACCCTAGTGCCTCGAAGGCTCCCACACCTTTGGTGAGGTAAGGGAGTCGGATGTACACAGTTTTACCCATGTACTAATTACTAAAGTACATATAGACTATTTCCGGATGACTCATGTCGAAAAACGCAAATAGTTTAGTAAGCCATTTTGCTTTATTCCATCATATTTCATTGCTTCATAAGTAATGCTTGTATGTGAGACTATATTGTACGAGATCATAAACTTAATCGATTTAGTGTTATTTGTATCAGAGTAAGATATACTTACTACTTCGTATAAAATTCCTCTCACTTATCATTTTGGAATTAAAATTAAGAGAAAATCATATACCAACAATTCCAAAGACCACCCCACAATACTTGAATCTGAACATAAATGATCAAAACACACAACATATAATAGTTCCATTTTTTTTAAATATAAGAGACCATTAGATCAAGTGAATTTTGTTCTTTTTTTTGCCGTGTAATAATAACATTTAGAAAAGAGAGGTCACCAAAAGTGTCATCAATTAATTTCTCAAATTAGAAGAGAGTTAGATCTTATCTTGAAAACATAACTAAATCTCAAATTAGAAGAGAGTTTTAATAAACCAAATCAAATTTAAAAACCAAGCATTCCAGCTCACTAGATGTGAGGTTATCGTGCCTAGTGGAGGTCTCGGGTTCGAAACCCGCTAGGCACATTTAGGAGAGAGGAGGAAGGTCTTGCTCCCAATAACTTTTCCTACCTTCATGGAGTGCCACAGCGACTAAAAAGGGAGATGATGGAAAATACAGGCCTACCGAGTTCGCGTGGTGGGAGGACCTTTGCTGGATTCAGGTTGTCCTGCTGGATTCATCCTGAATTTCAGGCCTATCGAGTTCGCATAGTGGGAGGGGACCTTGTTGTATTCAGTTAACAGGTTGTCCTGCTGAATTCGTACTGTGGAACCAGTACCAACGAAGGCTGACTGTGATCAGATCCGGATTTAACTGTTTAGGGGCTTTGAAGAGTAGTTCATAGACTCCAGGATTAGGGGAGCGCAAACACCGACACCTGGATAAAAAAAAAAAAAATTGAAAAGCATAACTTGCAAAAATTGCATTGACACCCATTATTATTGATCTAGATCATAAACAAGTGCTTCTATAATTTATGCATTGAGCAAATTCAACTTGATTTGGATTGTAATGAAATTGAACTCATAAGAAACGGTGGAAACATCAAGTACATGGACAATTGGACATCATAAGATAGAAAAAACCTTTAATCATCTCAAATGTACCCAAAATCAGTTATTTTTGAAGATCATTTTTCTTTCAATCCAATCCGATTTAAATTTGCATATCTGCTTACCATCGGTAGATTGAGATTGTACAAACTAAGTATAATTTGGAGTTGAAAGGTGATAATCTCGTATTTCATAAAAGAAATAATGACCCCTATATTGTTGATAGTGTTTTAGGTTCCAAAAATATGACCTCTTTAAACATTTCCACAAAAGTGACCCCCCTCTAATTAACCCCCCTCATCACCACAACTTCGTTAGCCTTCAACTGCTCCCCCTCTTGCCGACCAATTGCTCTCACTCCAACATCGGCGCCCTAGGCCAACAACCAACGCTGTCGCCCACTCATCCATCACCTACCTCCACTCGGATTCGCTAGCCGTCATCTTCAAGCCTTCTTCATCTCCTTTCTCGGGGCAAAGGTCGGGAATGGATAGTGACTGGGACATGTGACGGGGGAGTGGTTTGTGGTTACTGGTTGAGGCGGTACGGTCACTGAACGGGTGACTAGCGATAGACACTGAGTGGTTGGTAGTCACTGAACATGTAATTGGATGACAATCATACAAGGGCGTTAGATCGAGTAACAGGGAAAGAAGTGGAGTTACTGGGCGAGTTACCAGTGGTGATCCGACAGACATAGTCACTATTAGGGGTTGAAGAGTCATTGGTCTACTTTTGTGATAGAGTCATTGGAATACGTTTGTGACGGAGTCACTGGGTTAGTAACTAGTGAAGGTGGCAATAGTCACTAATAACCTCCGTACTGTTTAGCGTTCTCATATGCGATCAGATCGATTTCATACCGCGTTTGGGTACGGGACGACCGGTACGCAGATCGTGGCTTCCCCTGGGATTTATGTATCTATGGGTAAGATTATACATAGCTGGATTACGATCATTTTAATGAAAATGTTTTTTATGATGTAAGTGAGATTGATGGGTTTCTTCCCATTATATGTATAAATAGGGACATTGCATTTCTACAAACTCTCATATACTTGGGGTTATTTTATGGCTTATATGTTTCCAATTGGGAATTCAGCGTACCCTAAACTTATGTGTACAAGGTTAGACCATCAGGAACTTCCTTTTCTTGAGTAAATTTTCATGTTTCTGGAATAAGCCACTTGAATTTTGTTTTGTACAATTTCAAAATTTAAATTTAAGTAAACTCAACACGACAGAAGAGTTTCCATACAGAGTCATAAACTTACCAAGACAATAAGATAGAGATACATGGTAAATTACCAATGTGATAACTTTAACAATGATCTTACAGGTTAATTGTGTCCGAAGAGGCCATTTAGGACTGACCTGTAACTCAACAGCAATGATCAATATAAATAGGTCATGGATTCCTATATATTGAGCGCTTCCTAATAGCATAGGGCTAACAAAAGTTAGATATGGTATTTCCATGGGAAGACTGATGAAGCTTGCTTTTGGACTTTTCCATGGTAATGAATAATATCGATTCTATTATATGTCCGGGTAAAAAATAATTATGGTATTAATTACAATAATTTTTTTTACTTTTAATTTAGATGCAGAGAATAGGCCATCATCATCATCTGGTGGTGAACCAAGAACGATTAGTGCGGGCTTGGGAGATTAGTTCGACGTCCCCAATAAACTAAAATCTTTTACCTTCAAGGAGCTGGAAGCTAAGCGGCCACGAAGAATTTTGGTGCAGAAAACGTTGTTGGGGAAGGAGAGTATGGTATCGTCTTCAAAGGTTGGGTCTCCAAACGTGATTGGGGAAGGAGAGTATGGTATCTTATAGATATATGTTAGTGACAATTTGTTGTAAACTCCATATTGTGTTTAAAAGTGTAAATCACCCCGTATATAGGAGGCTCTGTCCGGCGGTCGTCAATCGGGAAGGCAGTTAAATAAATTTTTGAAGATAACTGCGCAATTAAATAGCGCAATATATTTAAGAAAATCATTTGACGGTCTTTTCGGTTGAATTTTTATTTGAAATTTGGTATGGGTAAACTAGACTTAATGAAGAAGATGCTCAAAAAATTTCATCAAACAATTCCACCGGGGACTTCCCCAAATGGCGACCGCCGGATAGAGTCTCCTATATAAGGGGTGATTTGCACTTTTTAAGTTAGTTCGAGTGTCTATTTGTCCCTTTTCCCTATAATTTTTGTTGAATTGAACTTCAGTCATGTTGTAATTTTTGGATTGTTAGGATGGTTGTAAATAAAGGTTTTGTATGGATGTGTGTTAGTGTTGAACTTGTAAAATTGTCCATTTAGAGAAAATATTGGGAAAATGGTTGGAAATTAATTTTGCTTCACTACTTATTGTTGCGGTCGTAAGATAACCGCCGCAAATAACCAAATTTTGAACCGACATTTCCAACCAAAATGGTTGGAAATTAATTTTGCTTCACTACTTATTGTTGCGGTCGTAAGATAACCGCCGCAAATAACCAAATTTTGAACCGACATTTGCTGCGGTTGTTCAACACCCGCAGCAATAAGTTTTTTTGAAAAAAATTATTCGCCACTTATTTGCTGCAGTTCGGACCGCATCAAATAGTATTTTCCCCCTTTTACTGCTCCCGCTATTGGTGTTTTTTCTAGTAGTATAATTATCAATTGCATAAAAGGAATATTACAATAATAAATGCAATACTCCATATTAAATGAATGCTTAGTCACTTTTTGGAATATTTTAAAAGAGGTCATATTTTTGTCTTCTCTATTTATTTTAGTAATATTGATAAAATACATTTAATTGAATATTAAATAGTTATATGGTCAAGAATTACTCTCAAAATTGTTATAAGAATAAATAAAAAATTAATGTACCAAAATGTAAATCTGTTCTGCAATATTAAAAATGTATTTAGCATTAGATGAACAAATTCTAAACAAAATATTTAAATAAAAAATATAATTATTATATATAGATGATGTGAATCTTTCATAAGTAGTTACTTAATATAATATCATAGGGTTAGTAATCAAAATAGGACTAAAAGTCACTCACTTTGCACAAATAGGACAAAAAATAAACTATGTTTTCATAGGACTAATTATGTGTGTCTTGGACAAATATACCCTTATACCTATTGAAATGTTTTAATTCATAATAAAATAATAAATAATAATAAAAAATTCGTAAAAAATACTAAAAAATTAATAAAAATATTTCGATAATAATT